AGCACTCAGGAGGCAGAGGCAGGCAGATCTTTGTAAGTTTGTGACCAGCCTGGTCTACAAGAACTAGTTCCAGGACAACCTCCAAAGCCACAGAAAAACCCTGTCTCGAAAAAACAAAAAACAAAACAAAACAAAAAACCAAAGTGGAGAGCAATTAAAGAAGATATTAGAGGCCTCCATACACACTTGCACACATGTATAGGCACATTATGTACACACCAAGAGACAGGTATTTCAAGAAGGGTCTGTATCTCTACCAGGCAGTGCCAAGGCTTCTGAGCCTTGGACTATTCTTTGAATATCAAAGGGCCCAGAGAGTATGTGGGAGGATTTAGTCAGTGAGTGCTTGCCCTTGTTAGCAGGCAGCTGGGAAGGCTTCTTGGAGGAGGGGTTGTATTGTACCCTGTTGTAAGACTGCATGAAGAAGGTGATAAAGATACCCAGATTACCCTATATGTGACCTGATGAGTCTTCATCATGCATGGCCACTGTCTAATCCAAGCCAAGGGTAAAATGACTCAAGACCCTTGAAAGGGGGAAAGAGAAGCCTAAACAAGCCTTGGTGAATAGATTTGCCATTTACTACCTGAGAGACTAAGCAGGCTCATATTCAGTCTTCTCTGAAAATATGAAGGTAACAATCCCCAGCCCCCAAGGATCGGGGCAAGGATGGAACCAAGTGGCATAACAATGTGCTTACCATAGAGCCTGGCAGAGCACAGGAGCAATAAAAAGATGCCTGGTTGAGGACTGTTGTCCTCTTGTTATTAGGAGCGGGGGAGTGGCATGTCTCCTGTTGGCTTTCGAGGTCAGCCTACTCCACAACTCATGACTTTCCGTTGAGTCACCTGCTGTCCTCTCCCTGTCTGTGGTTCTTGGAGTGCAGGGCAGCCATGACTCTGGGATGGATGGATATGTCAGCTTTGTCCCCTGAGGCCAAGGGAAGCCCCAGCTGCCTTGGCACTGGGCAGAACTCACTTCAGAGCAGGGGACTTGAGATGAGCATATGGGGTGGAAAGTTATTTTCAAACCCTCTAAGATGGGCATGGCAGCATGTGCCTGCAGTTCCAGCACTGGAGGAGTAGAGGCAGGAGTTCGAGGCCAGCCTGCGCTGAACAAGACCCTGCCTTAAAAAAATAAAGCAAACCATCCAACAACAACAACGACAAAATGCAACCAAAACAATTTAAATTGCTCTGCCATTCTGCCCAGGGGTGTTAGGCTGTCTACATCTCGAAACACAGGAGAGCTGTAGGCAGAGGGGGGCCCAGCTCAGGGTAGTGACTCTTTAGTTTTGGGTTATGTAATGTCTCCTTTCCCAGCTTAGCTCTCTGCAAGAGAGCAAGAGCATCGTGAACAGGGTCTGGCAACAGAGGGTGGACAGATGCATTTTCCAAACATTCCCTTTGACAGATAACCAGCCCAGAAGGTATCAGGCACCGCCTGGGCCCTGCTGGGGAGGGGCAGCCAGGCTCTCGATGGCATGACAGGAATCTAAACAGAGGTGATTTATTCCCTCACCTCCCTGGCAGGTTTTCATCTTTCCATTTTTCTTCCTGTCTAGCAGGGCAGAGCAAACGATCTTTCGGTCAATTGGCAATGCTCCACTTTTTTTTTTTTTTAATGTATTTGTACATGAAACTTGAGTCTGTTAGATGGATGGTAATGTACAAAGTGTCTCCTCTTCTTCTATTCTTTAATTGTGTCTGTTGTGTGTGTGTATGTGGGGGTTAGAGGTCAACTTGGGATGTCCTGCCATCCACCTTTTTTTTCTTTATATTGATGACATTTATTTTGATCCTGAAAAACAAATACATATTATAATACTTAATAGGTTTTAAATTTTTGATGGTCTTAAAAACAAAAGTACAAAGGATATTTTGTCAATGTTAAAATTTTTTTACATTTAAATTATTACTTTGTTATTGCTATTATTGGGTTTTTGAGACAAAGGTCTCTACATAGTCCTGGCTGCCATGGAACTCATTACATAGACCAGGCTGCCCACAAACTGAGACCCACCTACCTCTGCCTCCTGAGTGCTGGGATTAAAGGTGTTCGCCATCACTCCTAGCTGTAAATATTTTATTTTTTAAGATTATAAAATAATTACACAATTTCCCCTTCTCTTTCTTCTCTCCAAATCTTCCAATGTATCCCTTCTTGCTGTCCCTCAAATTCATGGCCTCTTTTTTTGTTAGTTGTTAATTGTTGTTGTTGGTGGTGGTGGTGGTGTGTGTGTGTAAAAATGCAACTTGCTCTGTCTTTATAATGCTATTTGTATGTATGTTTTCAGGGCTGACCACCTGGTATTGGGTAATCACTCAGTGAGCTCTTCCCTGGGAAAGATGACATCTCCCGCTCTTAGAATTCCTTAGTTGCCTGTAGTTCTTTGTGTAGTGTTGAGACCTTAATCCACCTTGTTTTTTTGAGATAGACTCTCACTGGAACGTGAGGCTTGTTGATGTGGTTGGGCTGGCTGGCTGGTGAGCCCCAGGGCTCTTCCTGTCTCTGTCTCCCCAGCACTGGTGTTATGGGTGTGCACCATCATGTCTGGCTTTTTACTTGGACTCTGGGAATGGAACTCAGGTCCTCATGTTTAAGCAGCAAGCATTTTAAGCACTGTGCTATCTCTCTGCCTCCTGCTCCTGTTTTTTATCTGATTTTTTAGGAACTGGCCAGATAGGGATGTTTCCCAGGTGAGAGGCAGAAAAACATGAGCAACCTTTACTCTTCCATGCTGAGCACAGAGCCCCACTCCCTGTGAGTGGTTGTCCCTGGCCCAGTGCCTTCCTAGAGAGATCCACACCTGCCTCACCCTCCTGTGGAGCCCCACCTAAGAAAGAACTGCTTGTACATTCGCACAGTAGCTTCAGTGAACAAAGTTTACTGAAGCTAGAAGGCCCTCCCACCTGTGGACTTCCTCATCCCTCAAGACTCGTGCCATAAAAGATGTCATCTCACTGGAGGCAAGGGACTCCCTACGCTCCTCCTCTCACCCTGAGTCATGGATGCATTTAACCGACAGGGGACTGGCAGATAAACAGTAAATAGAATACTTGCTGCTATTATCAACGCCAGTAGGTTAACCGATAGAAACAATGCAGGGCCAGCCACAGCAGACATAGCCCTGTGGGCTGGGTTTGCAGGCCCGAGCAGGATGTGACCCCTGCCTCTGGCAGCCTTCTGGTCACTGTGAAATAATTGCTAGGGCTCATATTATGGAAATGGGAAATGGTGGGCTCTGTGCCCAAGAGACAGTGTGACTGTGAGGAATGAGAGAGACCATAGCAAGAAGGTGACCTGAGCTTTTCTCTCCAGAGAGTGACAAGAGGAAGGGACATCTTGGAAGAGAGAGTCACAGGAGAGAAGAGTAAGGACTCTGGGGAGTGGCTTACTCTAGCTTGGCTGGAGTGGAGTGTGGACAGGAGATAAAGGTGAAGGGAAAGGTACAAGGGAGCTAACTGAGGGACATCCCTCTGCACCACGCAGGAGCCAGAACCTTGTCCTGTGAGCATCAAGGAACTAAACAGGACAGTGGCTTTTGTGAGCCACGGTGGCTCCATCAATAGGAACCTGGGAGGGACCTCAAGGGAAGTGTGATCAGGGGAGATCAGAAGAGAAGACCAGGGACTCCCTGGAGGGAAGAGTTATGTAACACTTAGTGCTCAAGCGAACACACACACACACACACCCCAGTGTGTCATCCATTGGGGATCATAGGTGATACTTCCCAATGTACAGATAAGAGAAACACTGCTCCAGCATCTTGCTCCACTCTCCCACGTGACTCTACAGACTCCAGTGTGAAGTCCACAGCTCTTCTCTGGGGTTTTATTCTTTATGGCGGCTTGTTATCTGCATGTGAAACGTGGTCCCCAAACCAACGAGTGTGACTGGTCAACAAACCAGCAGGCCCCTGGCTTGGTCTCTCTCTCTCTCTCTCTCTCTCTCTCTCTCTCTCTCTCTCTCTCTCGTTTCTCAGAACACTGACATCTTTGAGGGTTATGGAAGAGGGATTTTGTAGACCTTTCCTCAGTTTGGGCTTGTCTGATGTTTCCTCACTGTAAGTTAAGTGTTTGGGTAGAAATTCCACAGAAACAATTCATGTTCTTATTGCAGCTCATCAGATGGAACATGAGCCCATGTGTCTTGTTATCGATGCTATTTATTTTTCATGACAGCTCCTGGTTCAGATTTATTTACACAAATCGCACTTAGGGATATCAACTCTCTGTAGACAGCCGCCCATGAAGACAGCAGTCTTTGTTTGTTTGGTTTGGTTTGGTTTTTGGTTTTGGGGTTTTTGACACAGGGTTTCTCTGTGTAGCTTTGGAGGTTGTTCTAGAACTCGATCTGTAGACCAGGCTGGCCTCAAACTCACAGAGATCTGCCTGCCTCTGCCTCCCATGTTCTGGGATTAAAAGCATGAGCCACCAACGCCTGGCGACAGCAGTCTTTCTGTCCTCACATGGATTGGTGAAGACCTCTGTCCCAAGGATTCTTGGCCTCGGCACTGACCAGCAGAGTGGAGACACTAGTGATGTAGGCGTCCATGCATCTGGGTTGTGATGTGCTTCTGCAGTTTGAGGTGGGCAATGTGGACCTGTGTCTGAGCCACTGTTGATTTCGACTTCCTTGGGATTTTTCAGGGTCTGGATAGTAACGGCATGTGCCACAGCCTAGGCACTTGGCCTACAGCTTCTGGAACCTTCCCTCTGATTCTTAGCAAACCATGTGTTTTTCAAGAACTGCTTATGGTTTCTGTAGTTTAATTTCTTCTATGATTTCTGTGCTATGATTTCTATTTGGGGGGTGGGAGGGTTGTGCTGTGGTCTCCAAATTTGGCTGTGTCTACTCAGTAGCTGGACAATAATGTTAGCAATGATTGGCCTGGCTCAGGTTTTAAGTAAGGTTTTTTCACCAGAAACTACCTATTTTCTTTTCGTTTTTTAAATAAGGACTTGAGACCATGCAAATTTGTCAATAAAGCTATGGAATAAAATATGGAATGCTTCACAAATTTGCTTGTCAATTTCACAGGGACCATGCTAATTTTCTCTGTGTCATTCCAATTTTAGCATACGTGCTGCCAAAATGAGCACTAAATGGTGACTTTCTAATCTTATAGTTTATCTACATTGATTGGCATGCTATTGTAAGGCTGAGCATCTATCTATCATCTATTTATCTATCATCTATCTTCTTACTATGGACTCCAAAATTATTTGATGATTTATAATTTTTGCTGCTACATATATATTTATATTTAAGATTTACTTCTTTATGTCTATGAGTGTTTGCCTGTATGTTTTATACACTGCCTGAAGAGGCTAGAAGATGGCAATAGATCCCCTGGAAGCAGCATTAAGGATGGTGGGTGCTGGGAACAGAACCTGGGTCCTCTGCAAGAGTATCAAGTGTTCTTGACCACTGAACTATCTCTCTAGCCCCCATGATATATTTTACTGTTTGAACTATTCCAGATTTGGCTAATGAAAGCACATTATTCAAGTTGGCTTCTGTGTCCTCCTGATTTGTCTCCATCACACTTTGGGAGCTTTCTGATGTTCTAGCTTGACAAGGTATTCTAAGTTTATCTTGTACTTTTACTGATTGTTTCAGTTTCATCTCAGTTGCTGTGATAAAACACCAAGACCAAAAGCAACTTAGAGGAGGAAAGGGTTTATGTCACCTTACAACTCCAGGTCACAGTCCAACACTGAGGGAAGTCAGGACAGGAACTTGAATCTGAAAACATGGGGGAAATACTATTGCTGATACATTACTTCCCTTTCATGCTTAGCTAGCTTTCTTATACAGCCTAGGACTACCCAGGGAATGATGCTGCCCACTATGGGCTGGGCTCTCCTTATCAAGGAACAATTAAGAAATGATGTCTTAATGTCCACAGAATGATCTGATATGAACAATTCCTCCACTATGACTCCCTCTTCTGCCTGATGGTAGTGATGCATGCCTCTCATCCCAGCACTCAGGAGGCAAAGGCAGCAAAGGCAAGCAGATCTCTGAGAGTTCGAGGCCAGTATGGTCTACAGAGTGAGTTCCAGGGAAGCCAGCACTACACACAAAGAGAAACCCTTTCTCAAAAACAAAAACAAAACAAAACAAAAAAACCCCAAAACAAACACCAATGCCCCCCCCCAAAAAACTCACACAAATAAATAAGAAGACTCCATTGGGTTTCCCCATGCCAGAATAGTGAGTGTGAGCATTTCTGAATGTCACTCGAATGGATTATGTGCCATATTCACAGATAGTTATTCTTAGAGAGTCTAGATGTGGCATAGATGTATCTTTTTAAAAGGAACTCTGTCTTTGTATAACCAATAGTGTTAAGAATGTGCCCCCTCAGTGACTATAGTATTCTGCAATATCACCTCTACAGCTAGAGCCTTCAGTGAAGTTCTTGGATAGGTGCCAACAGAGAGCCCCATCTTGCCCTTTGTAATGCCAGAAAAAAAAATCTCCAACTTGCAGCTCTTAGACAGAAGGCCAAGTCTGCATGTCAGTGGTATCAGAGCTGAATGTGTTTAATGTGATAATTGTCTCCAGTGCTGCTGCTGCATTTGCTTGCCCTTTGGGAACAATGACTTCTGACAGAATGGTTGCCCCCAAGTCCCACAAAGTTACCTCAAGTTCTAGGTCTAAGGAAGAGAGCAAAGTACATTATGGAAAATCAAAGAAACAAAATACCATAGGGAAGGTATTAGGGACAATAGTACTGCTCAGGGGACCTGTACACCACATCCGGTCCTCCACCATGAAAGCCAGCCACTCCTGGAAGTGGCTTTTCTGATTACATTGACTTCAGGATGAGGTAAAATGCCTTTTAGTATAGGCCTGAAGACATTTTTTGTTTGTTTGTTTGTTTGTTTGATTGCTTCATCATAGACACTCCAGGATCCTAAGGCCTTGCGATTGGTGTTGCCTATCTTCTCCATTGCTTCTTCCATCTTTTCAACTTTGTACATAGTACACTTAAATTCTTCCATGTGTGTTACTTGCTTATTTGTCTCTCTCATCCTCACTTGACTTCAATCCCTGCCTTTCTGTAGCACGAGCCACAAGTCACAATTGTTTGTATATACCTGGGACATAGCAAAAGATCAAGAATTACCTGTAGGATGGATGAATGCTTCTAAGGAGTCTACTTAAAATGTAGATTGGAGGTTGACAAGATGACCCAACAGGTAAGGGCATTGTTATCAAGGCTAACAACCTGTATTCAACCTCAGGGACCCACACAGTAGAAAGAAAGAAGCGACTCCTGCAGCTGTACACTATACACATATACAAACACATGAAATTTCAAAAAAAATTAATGTAAATTGAGCTCTAAGGTGAAAGCTGTGTCCTTTTGCTTAGGAAAAGATAAAGCAAGCTTTCTCTACTATTTGACTTCTCAGTTTTGTCAACAAAAGATGTTTCTTTGGGGCATCAGTAAAGAGAGGGAGGGAAGGTTTTCAACAGTAGCACTTGGTTGAAGCAATGACAAGCATGAAATCACCTGGGTCAGCCACACCCCAAATCACCACCCACAAGGCTATAAGTTATATTCAGACATACTGGCACAGGGCATCTGTTTTATTTCATGCTCTGTTTGTGTAACTATTTTTTTATAGTTAATAATTTGTCAGTCATTATATGGTGGATGCTAATTTCTCATCACTAAAATGCAATTTTTGTGTAATATTGCTAAAACTAAAAGTTATGATAATGTAGTCTAAGAAGTGAGCCTGTCTCACTTCTTTTCTGTTGAATTGGCTGCTCAGCTGATGGAATCAAATGATCCAAATCAGCATGTGGGTATTAAATATAAATATAAGTCACATGGGTTGAGTCAGAAAAAAAATTATTCCACTTACATTCAAACCACTCAGTTAATATTTTGTTTGCTTCTGATTACTTAAAACATATTTGGATATTGTATTAGGCGTCTCTAGAAGGCTAGAATTTGTAGAACGAGTATACACTACATGCAGGGATTTATTAGATTGGATTATATTATACTTATTATAAATATATTTATTAAATTGGCCTATATGCTGGAGAGGCTGAGACACAGTAGCCACTCAGTCTATGGATGCCTCTTTCGAGATCTGGCACTAAAGTCCCCAATCTTTAGCCCACAGTGTAAGGCCTAAGAAACTGGGTTCCCATGGCAATGAAGGATGCAGCAACAGAGTAGATGTGCTCACCAGCAGGAAGCAAAGATGGGCAATGGAAAGTCCTGCTTTCCCTCTGACTTCTTTATTCTGGACACCGTTAATCCTCTCTATAAACACCCTCTCAGACCCTCTCAGACCCCCCAGACTTTCCCAGTTGTAGTGCCTTAGTTAATCCCAGATCCAATCTAGCTGACAAGCAAGATTAACTGTCACTAATGGATAATGGCTTATGTCCTGACTGAGCAATGTCAGAAACATAAATGAGCATGTTTGTCTTACCACAATGTCAGAACAACAAAAAATCCAAAAGGTACATCAATTTCGTTGACTTGAACTCACCAAGTACTCCTGATTTCACTTAGTATTTATGGCCACTGAATAATGGATTCTTTTATTCTAATCCTAATTACTAATATTAACTCAGAGATCATACATACTCCATACAATAGTATATAGGTCACAAAATGGCTAAAATGGTTAATTAAAACTCTTGTTGAGGGTGGGGTGGGCTGAGTGGGGCGGGCATGGTGGCACACATCTTTAATCAGATAGAAAGAAGAATGTTCTAATTCGAGGCCAACCTGATTTACAGAGTGAGTTCCAGACTAGCCACAGCTACAAAGTGGGACTGTGAAACAAATGCTGTGGGGTTCAAAGGGTTTACTGAAGACAAACTGGGGGCCACTGTAGTTGTTTGGTTGAGTAACAGAAGAGCAATTAAAGAGCTGGCTCCAGGTTTACTGGATCTACACCAACCACAATTCAAGTAGTCTTAAGTCAGGTAGGGAAGGCAGGGGTCTGCTCAGCTGAAGCCCCAAGGACAGAATCTGGAAGTTTATCTCTTTTTTGAGCCACTGACCTGTACACCAGATGGTCTGATGATGGCTGGTGGGCGTTAGCTGTGGTCCAGATGAGGGGGTTGCATGTTGACTGGTCTAATGTGTTCAGTAAACTCACTGGCCAGTTTTCTCCACCCCCTCCATATGGTTTTGATATATCCATGTGTTCTTGATTTAATCTGGTTAGTTCAGAGTTGGTGCTCTTTTTATTTGTGTAAATATCTTATCAGTTTGTACCTCATGGTTTGCACTAGACAGTAACTGTTAACTTACACAAGCAAGATGCAGAGTCATTCTACGCACTATGGGGCCAACTGCTCTTATGAAATGGAGTCACTTAGGACAAGACACGGTCTGAAAGGAGTATAAATAGGGAGTGACTAAGAGTAAGGTATTGCTTTGTCTTAGGGTTTCTATTGCTGTGAAGAGACATCATGACCACAGCAACTCCTATAAAATAAAACAAAACAAGAATGTGTTTAATTGGGGTGGCTTACATTTTCACTTATCATCATTGTGCTAATGGTAGCATGCAGGCAGACATGGTGCTAGAGCTGAGAGTCCTACATCTCAATAGGCAGGCAACAGCAAGTGGTCTGTCACTTTGACTGTGGCTTTAGTGTATGTGAGACCTCAGAGCCTGCCCCCACAGTGACACACTTCCTCCAACAAGACCACATCTGCTCCAACAAGGCCACACATCCTAATAGTGCCACTCCCTTTGGGGTCCATTTTTTCTTTCAAACTACCACAAACTTGATGTCAAGTTTGTCAAGTTTGCTAGTAACTTCCACTACCGCCCAGCGCTCACCACGCCCACTCATGCACTGCATGCTTTAAAATTTGGTACTTGAAGGACTTGTTGCCCTTTGATTAGTAGCATTGACAATAATCTTTTATATCTCTTATACAAAATCAACTGACAAGAAATTTCAATAGCTTTGATGGGGGAAAAAAACCTCCTCTGAAGTGTGTGTGTATTTATATTTATACTAAACAGAACATCTTTATTTTTTGCTAAAATCTGCTCTCTGTTCTGGTGTTTTTTGTTTAGCAAAGTTTTGGTTTCTTTTG